TCTGCTGGCACGGGTGCTTGCAGCCTTGCAACTGGCACAAACTGTGTAGCCAGCCCGTGGCCCTTTAAGGGCTCCGGGGCCGGGAGGGGGGCAATAGAGTTTCCCTGGTGTTGGCCAGAGTGGCCACCATCTGCTGGCACGGGTGCTTGCAGCCTTGCAACTGGCACAAACTGTGTAGCCAGCCCGTGGCCCTTTAAGGGCTCCGGGGCCGGGAGGGGGGCAATAGAGTTTCCCTGGTGTTGGCCAGAGTGGCCACCAGGGAAACCTGGGAAGCATTAGCCCTTAATCTACACAGCCCTTAATTTGAACTAGCTAGTTCGAACTAGGCTTAATCCTCGTAAAATGAGGTTTACCTAGTTTGAACTAAGCGCTCCGTTAGTTCGAATTAAGTTCGAACCAACGGAGCGCTAGTGTAGCGCCTATCAAAGTTAGTTCGAACTAACGTCCGTTAGTTCAAACTAACTTTGTAGTGTAGACATACCCTCAGATGGGTGAGCATGTAACATGGAATCCTCCCTCTTTCTGGTTAGTAGAAAACCACTATCCCTTTCAATGCATCCATAACCCTGCATCTGAGCATTCCCTCCTAATTCTCTTGGCTTCTCCACTGGGAGTGCAGCCTATCTGACAAAGCAATTTTTAAGGGGAGGGAGGCGGAGGAGTGTGACACTTTGAGATCTGCTGATTAAAAGTGTTATACAAAAGATCTTGGTATTATTACTTCGCCCCCACCCCCATCGAGTAAGACTCATTTATGAACAACACCCTGAGTCATAAAGGTATTGATTTTATTACTGTGAAAATATTCCACATTTTGTCATCGTATAATACATAAGAAAAAATTGGTGAATGATACGCAATTTCCCCCAGTTCAGAAAAAAATGATTAAATAATATAAAACCATCTCTGGAAGTGGAAAATGCTTAATATCAGGTATAGTCACGGAAGGATTCATTCCTATCCAGTGAGCAGGCCACAGCAATCTCACATCCCATTAATAAAAACCTAACGTACACACTTCATTCATACATCATACTATTAAAAATCTCTTTCTAAATGGCTGTCTACTTCCATCAGATCAGACAACATTGCATAGTTATAAATGTACTACAGTTTTAGTACAAATCTAAGCACTAGGTATGAGATTCAGAGCTACTTGAGTTGTTTTAAAGTAACCACATCTTGAAGATATTAATTGCAGTAATCTTCAGAATAGCCATTAGTAAATGGATCACACATCTTATGTGCAGGGACGGCCCGTGGACCTAGGCAAACTAGGCAGTTGCCTATGGCGCTGCGGGTCCGGGTGCCCGATGATGATGTCACGGGGCGCCCCATGATGACATCATGGCCATTGACGGCCGTGCAGGCGGGGGCGCCAATGCAGCTGGCCTCGGGCCGCTCCTGCTTATGTGTCATCCTATGTGTCATAATAAATTAGCTAAAATAATACATATAAAAAAGGCTATATTTTTCTAAAATAGTCATGTGCCAGGTAAGGTAGGTTAATGAATGATTGGGTTCAGTTTAAACCCCATTTTGCAAAGATTTTCTTGTGACATCTTGGAACCTGATATAGTGCTAATAAGTATTTCTATGAGAAACAACTGAGACATCATTTACTGCACTGCAACAATAGTAATGTTGGAGTCATCTATGATTATTCTCATTTCTTATTACTCTGAGGTATTGAAAAGCATCTAGAGTTGTATTTTAAAAATCTTGATGACACACGCTGCATTTGAGTCACCATTTAGCATTGCAACTGCTATAATGTGATGAGCAACCTTTCTATGTTGCATATCTCATGTTCAAAAGAATTTATTTGCCTGACTCTCAGCTCTCATATAGATTTATATAGTTCACTATTAAAATAGTTTCCATCTCTTCAGCAACTTTCATTTTAAAATGATCCCAAGTACTGTATACCGATAAACATATCAGTCCACATCTACAATGAATGCAGCCAACTCTGACATGTGTCTAACAGACACAGCAGCATTCCAAAATAGTATAGTGCAGGAAAGGAGTATAGGATAGTGCAGTATGGACATACCCTAGGAGATAACACATTGTGGGCATGTCTCACTACAAAGATTGAAGCTGCCGCTGTTGATCTTGCAGGGTTCAAATTAGTGGGTCTAGTGAAGACACACTAATTCAAACTGAGAGGGGCGCTTCAGTCGATGCCAGTAGTCCTGTTTCCGCGAGGAGTAAGGGAAATCGAAGGGAGAGTGTTCAGCTCCAAATGTTGAGTTAAAGTACTTTGACTTCAGCTACGCAATTAATGTAGCTGAAATTGCGTATCTTAATTCAACCTTGTCCTGTAGTATAGACATACCCTGTCAGATAGAAGTGTGATTTTCAGTTGCTGGTGTCCATTAAAAAAGTAGCAGTGCTTTAAAGGAGCTAGAATGGTGTTTCCTGCTTTAAGGCAATGCCTACAGGGTAGCTGCTCTCACTGCCCACAGTTATTATTTAATCAACACTCAGGTATTCAGCCACCAATATTATAAAAGGAAAATGTTCCTTGCTGTGCAATATCTTGGTGTTTCATTCCAATTTTGCATTTCACAGTGATTAACTGATGTTCATGCCATATTCCCCAACTTAATCAAAATCATCTATTGACTCCCACCCTGCAAAAAAGATACATGAACATGGACAATGTAAGTATTAGCAACTGTTCTAATTAGCAACAGGTTTATAAATATGTGTGTCTATCTAGAAATCTTCTCAGTTGAACAGAAATAGAAACATTGTCTCCTCCCTGTGTACTCCTTTTCCATGTGGGCTGAAAGGCAGCGGCACAATATGTCCAGAAAAGCAGTCAAATATTAGTGCAAATTCAACCCTCCAAAATCTTTTACAGTGTCACTGCACTCACAGACCTCCGATGGCTTCCAGGATTAAGTTCTTCAGCATTATCGCTTGTCAGATGGCTAATGAACATCCCAGGAGATGTTATCCTAGTTGACTCAAGTGAATCTTGTCCAGGGCAGGGTCTTGCTAGTGAGTTGGCAGCAATAGTTTCTTCCCCTGTCCACCTACTGGTGGAAGAATTACCTTCTTCATCCAGCATCCAGTCCCTTCGGTGATTCATTTCAGGAGTGGAGAGTTCCCAGGCATTATTATTTCCATGGGGTGTTACTGCTGCTTGGCCCAGAAACTGTGACACAGGTGAGTTACTGTTGTTTTGGTCAACCTCATCACTGGAGACCGGTGATGCTACAGATGTGCTTGGGGTGGTTCGTTCTATTGATCTCCACCTCTGGATTTCCAGGTCTCGTTGCTCTTTCGGGAGCTTATCCAGCTGCTGAGCTTTTAGAATCTGAGATGCTCTGAAGGTTCCTCGCACAGCCAATATTAGATACCTGGTGAATGGTGATGAAGAGTATTGTATTAATAATGGGCTTCATCAATAATTTACCACAACATGACAAAAACCTAACTTCTTTCAGCTTCTATTGTTCTGCAGGTGTCTGGCAGAGAGGTGTAATGTTTCTAATGGAGGCACTTAAATACACAGTCTTCCTAGTGTATAGTCATTTACAGGGTCGTCGATTGCAGTGAAAACCACTCGCCAGCTGCGCACTGCGCATGCACAAGACCGGCACTGCACATGCACGAACTGCCAGTGAACGCAGTGACCGGCTGAAATCTACTCGCCATGGGCGAGTAGATAAGTGGATTTGTTGAGCCCTGGTCATTTACACTTATGATGTGATACAAATGACAATAATACAGTTAAGCAGTCACTGCACAGGGCAGGAAAGGTCAGGCACCGATTTGGTTTCACTAGGAGAAGTGCTATCAGTTAGGACAATGTGGCTCTACTCTCCTGTAGTTAGAAAGAACATGGGCAGAAGGAATCTTAGTTTAACCTCATCTGAGGCTTGGAAGTAAAAACAATCACAGCTTGTGAGTGGCTCAGGAACCAGCAAAACAACTTGGCCTTCCTAGAGGGATGGTGCCTGGCTCTACATTACAATGCTAGATTATATTTGAAAACCAAAGCTGCATCTTAAGGCTCAGTTTTGGAGAAGGGCTTTGAAAACAAGTTGGCCTTTGTCCACATGCCTGGCCAATGTATATCCTGAAACAATTAAGAGGAAATGTTGTTTTGAACCTCTGTTAAGAAAGGACTCAGACTCCCTTTCTCATAGGCAGGAAGGGATCTTAACTCTGAATTTCCCCTCACACTCAGAGCAGCTGTTGTGGGGAGGCAGAAGTGGGACAGGAAGACAGAGAAAGGTGAAGGACTAAGGGCATGGGATTTTCCCATTCCCAGTACAATGAGTAGGGGATTCTGTCCCAAGAATATGTAGACTGTGGGAAAATTGCAGGGGCTAAGGCCTGTCCTTGATTTAACATTGCACCCACTCTCCTTCCAGCTCTTTGGCAGTGCTTAAAAGTTGAGCAAAATTGCACAAACTGGAAAGCATAGGTTTTTATGGTTGGTTTTTTTCTGGTTCTGGGCATGCAGAACTACCATGCAGCACTGTTACAAAAACCTGCACACAAGCAAAGGCAAATGGTCATATCCTTCACCAAACACTAAATATGTCCTTCAACTGAACCATATAAATCAATAAGAACAAGAAGTTGTAACAAGGATGAAGAATTGAGACTCAAGGATTTTATTCCTATCTCGTGCAAAAAAGCCCGGATGGCGAAAATGGCGATCGGGGCTTTCTTGCGCAAAACCGCATCTAGATTGGCACGGACACTTTTCCACAAAAAGTGCTTTTGCGCAAGAGCGTCCGTGCCAATCTAGATGCGGTTTTGCGCAAGAAAGCCCCGATCGCCATTTTCGCCATCCGGGCTTTTTTGCACAAAACAGTTTTTACTTGTCTACACTGGCCCTCTTGAGCAAAAGCATTTGCACAAGAGGGCTTTTTCCCGAGCGGGAGCACCATAGTATTTGCGGAACAACACTGACAAACTTACATTAGATCGTCAGTGTTCTTGCGCAAATTCAAGTGGCCAGTGTAGACAGCTGGCAAGTTTTTCCGCAAAAGCAATTGCTTTTGCAGAAAAACTTGCCAATCTAGACACAGCCATAGAGATCGGAATCTCAAAGTTGTGAAGTCATAGAATTATAGAATCATAGGGTGGGAAGAGACGTCAGGAGGTTATCAAGTCCAACCTCCTACTGAAAGCAGGACCAACCTCAACTAAATCAACCCAGTCAGGTTGGTAACGCACTCTAATGCTTCACCACCCTCCTAATAAAATAGTTTTTCCTAATATCCAATCTAGACCTCCCCCATTGTAACCTGAGACCATTGCTCATCATTCTGCCATCTGTCACTACTGAGAACAGCATCTCTCCCTCCGTTTTGGAACCTCCCTTCAGGCAGTTGAAGGCTGCTATGAAATCCCCTCTCAGTCTTCCTTTCTGCAGACTAAACAAGCCCGAATCTCTCAGCCTCTACTTGTAAGTCATGTGCTCCAGCCTCCTAATAATTTTCATTGACCTTCACTGGACCCTCTTCAATGTGTCCACATCCTTTCTATAGTGGGGCACCCAGAGTTGGATGCAATACTCTAAATGTGGCCTTACCAGTGCTGAATGAAGGGGAATAACCTCTTCTCTAGATCTGCTGGCAATGTTCCTCCTAATGCATCCTAATATGCCATTAGCCTTCTTGGCTACTAGGGCACACTGTTGACTCATATCCAGCTTCTCATCCACTGTAATCCCCAGGTCCTTTTCTGCCACACTGCTGCTTAGCCAGTCAGTCCCTAGACTGTAACATTGCTTGGCATACTTCCATCCCAAGTGCAGGACTCTACACTTATCCTCGTTGAACCTCATCAGATTTTTTTTGGCCCATTCCTCCAATTTGTCTAGGTCACTTTGGGATTAGAAGCCAGGTGTTCACGCTAGACCAAAAGGGACACTGACACATCTAGGGAAAATACATTTTTTTTACCAATACAGTGCATTAATTTAATTATTTTACCCTAATGCCCTCAAAAGTGAACATTGGAAAGGAAAAATAAGCAAATCAAATGTTCAAACCTTGGTAAAAGTGCTATGACTGGTGTAATGAAGCACACTAAATAAAAGTTAGGATCTGACAGCTGATCTTCCATAATCCAGTAAGGGTTTGTGGGATGATTACAAACAACGCAGACAGAATGGTAGATAGTTGAGAAGATGAAGTAAAGCAGAACACTTCCAATCATGGCGATCCAATGGATGCATGTCTGTGAACAGAAGTAGAGAACACAGTCTTGACACTAAACACTGATGCTAGATCCCATGACTCTAGTTTTAGCACAGGAGAACATATAAGGCTATTGGAAGGAACATGCCTATATAGAAGCATGTTATTGAGAAGTACTGCATAATGAAATCCTTATAAATTACAGAATAAGACATACCCTACCCCCCACAACTCATTCAAAGGACAATAACTTGCAAGTAATAAAGCTATCACTAAGACCATGGCATAACGTCTCCTATTCTAATGCCTAGCTGCAAGAATTCTGCATTGTTCTGTCCCAAAGACTCTGTACAAATAATTAAAGATATTGCAAGGAAGATATTACTCTAGGCAAATCATCCATTTTGATTGTCTTACTGATGACACTTTACTCCATATAAACAAATGTATTTCCTTTGTGTGATCCAGAGTTCAAATATGACTCAAAGAAAATTCCACAGCTTTCTGCCCTACACTACAACATAACCATATGGAAAAATACAAAAAGTAAAACTGTCATCTCTAGACAGCACGTTTACAGACATACCCAAGTGTTCATTTCTAGAGACTGGTGCAAGAGAATTATGAAGAGGGAGATGGTATTGATGGGAGTTCCAAATGTAATAACATCAATATCAGAGTCCTTGTACGTCTAGAAAATAGACAAAATCAGATAAACCTTGACTAATTAATTGCATAAGAAAACATTGGTGATTTTTTTTCTACTTCTTTTAAGAAGTAGAGTTTAAAACCTCAACATACTTACCAAATAAGGGACAAAGAAGCAGATGAGACCCTGGTAGAAGGCATCCAACACAGCAATACTAAAAGTTGACAGTTTGTATGTCTGTAGGAAGTGAGGAATATCCATTATCACGCTGTTTCTGCTAGTTTGTGCTCCACTAAGTTACTCATTGTCTTTAAGAATCTGATCCTTCCATTTTTATTCAGGCAAAATTTCCATAAGGCTTGCAGGATTGGGCCCAATGTTATTCTTTACAATTCCTTTGCATGGAACAGTATGTTTGATTGCAAATTGACATTTAGATCTTTATCACAACTTTTAATGCCACAGCTTCAGTAATAGGTAGGGTCACTATTGGAGTGGCAGGGGGGCTCTGGCACCAGTGACTATGTCCTTTGAAAATATGCAGAAATACACTTCTCCAGTGGCCAGGCAAGAGCTGGTGTTGGAAGAGGGTGGGATCTCTTCAGGGGGTCTCTTGGCAGCATGACTGCCTCCACATTTTGTACTAGAAGGGCTGAATGGTCAGAATTCCAAAGGGATACCAGTCTGAGTCATGAGTGCTCAACACTACTGAAAATCACATTCAGACAAGAAATGTGGCTGCTGCATAGAAAAGAGGAGCCTCGACTCGGCTGTGTCTAGAAAGCAAGTGTTTTTGCGGAAAAAGTTGCCAGCTGTCTACACTGGCCGCTTGAATTTCCGCAAGAACACTGACTTCCTACTGTCTGAAATACTATGCTGCTCCCATTCGGGCAAAAGTCCTTTTGTGCAAAGCTTTTGTGCAAAAGGGTCAGTGTAGACAGCTCAGATTTGTTTTGCGCACAAAAGCCCAGATCGCAAAAATGGCGATCGGGACTTTTTTTGCAGAAAAGCGTGTCTAGATTGGCACGGACACTTTTCCACAAAAAGTGCTCTTGCAGAAAAGTGTCCGTGCCAATCTAGATGCTCTTTTCCGCAAATGCTTTTTAACTGAAAACTTTTCCGTTAAAAGCATTTGCAGAAAATCATGCCAGTTTAGATGTAGCCCTTATGTATTGCACTGCTCTGGGACCTGAAAAGGGCAGGTCAAAATCTTCCCTTAAAAAGTTTTTTTTATTAGAACACATTAGAAAGGCATAGTTGAACCAAAGCTAGGTTAAGCATTTTAAAATGATAGAAAAAAAAAGTGTGTGCATTTGTAGTACATAAATAAAAGATCAGCCTGGTTCTCTGCATTTGTCAGGGAGGTTTGAGAAGGCGCTTAATATAAACACTTACGCATATCCCCTGACTTTTATCAATTTCTGAGTATTCAAAATAAAAAAATATAAAAGCATCTCTGGAAAGCAGAGACATCACATTTTTATAGTGACAAAAGAAGTACTTTGTATATTAAAATAATTATTTCTAAGCATAACAGCAGGAGTGCATACACACAGTCTGCAAGCCTTTTGTTGATCTAAAGGTTTACGTTTACTTGCCACTTTATACTGCCATATTCATTTTCAAAGTTTTTCCTTCCTGATACTTCCTGAAGTTACACATCCTCCGTCTACATCAGAATTTAATCAGGAGTTCATACTATTTTTACACACAGCTATTAAATTTCAACTCTGAAATTTATTGCCCCCTAGATCCCAGGTAATGAAAAACAAAAAGTCTATACAAATTTCTTCACTTCATTTTGTTCAGGTTAGAGACAACACACATTTCTGATGTTAAAAATTTTCAGGATTTCAATATATAGAGCAACCTTTCTGAAGCTGTGTGCCAAGATTTAACCCTCCTGCCCTGGGCTGTGCCACGCCGTTCTCTCAAGATGGGGATAGGGGCTCTCTCCATTGCATGCCCTGCCCTGGATTCTGCTCCACCTTTTCCTGTGGGGAGGGGAGGAGCAGTGTGCATGCACTTCTATACACTTGGATGCAAGATCTGGGTAGGAGATGGGGGTGCAAGAGAAGCCTGTGGGTAAGTGTCTGGCCAGGAGGAAGTGGGCAGCAGCAGGGTGCGGGTGGGTGTCTGGTCAGGGAGGAAGGGCAGGAGCAAGCTGGGGGGTGAAGGGTCTTGGCATGGAGAGGGGTCAGGAGTGCAGGGTCTGGGCAGGACTTAACTTTTTTTCCCCCAGTGTCTATAACAGGGTTTATTTATTGCCTCGTCAGGAGTGCAGGGAGTCCAGCCAGCAGGTCCAGGCAAGCTAGCCAGGATCCAGCCTGCCGGCACCTGGATGACAGACTCCAGCTCTCTGGCAGGTGTGAGAGCATGGTGCACATGAGTGCAAAGCACACAGGGGAGGCATGAGATGGGAGCGGAGCAGGGCATGGAGCAGTGGGGACATGGCCATGGCAGCAGCAGGTCCTTCATGGGAAAGGTGGTAGTCTGGTCTGCTTTTGCCCTCTCCCTTCTCCCTGCTGCTCTGAGGCACCTGTCCCAGGCATGGCTTCTTGCTGTTCCACTGGCTGGTCTGGCCAATGGAGCAGCAGGAAAAGCCTGCAGGCAGCATGCCAGTGCGTTGCTTTGTTCCTCCCTGTGGGAGCGGAGTGTTTGTGTGTGTGTGTGTGTGTGTGTGTGTTTGTGCACGTGCATGCGCGGAGTTGTTTGTGGCTCCAGCTTTTTCCCCGATCGCACAGCATTAACTGTGACTACACTAACCCCCACTTTATACGTTCCAACAAAGCACCATAATTTGCACCGGCACTTAGCCCAGCTTCCACCACCAACTCCATTCCAAATTTACTTGTCCTGATCCCAGTTACACAATCCTTTGGGTGGCTCTCAGCAGAAGAGAAAGATGAGGTGAATAGTGGATATCATGGGGAGAGGGAACATGAAAAGAGCTGAGAACCATGGCCTTATCAAACAAAACAGCAGGTCTCATATAGTTACTTCCGCAATCAAGACCCACCTCTGAATTTTGCCCACTCTTGTACAGTTCAGGCAAACTTAGGAGCGTTTCTGCAGATACATCTTTATCCAGGATTCCAAAAAGGATGGGAGGTATTGAGGTGAAAAAGAGGTTAAAGAAGATCAATTGCCAGGGATCAATCATAGAAGTCCCTGTGAAGCCACAGAAGAATTGATACCAAAAGAGCAGGCTTACGTAGCTCTGTGAGAAAAGTGAACAGAAAATATCCCATGATGCATGATGACCCAACATATAATCCCGACATTTTGAACTTGCAACAAAAATTGCTTTCAGTAAATACAAATTTCATTTTACTTTGGGCCCCTAAAGCCACAAAGTCGGAGATCTCCTGTGGCCTCTTTTTTGGACCTTCCAATTGTGACTGTCTGGGTATGGCATGAGTTCCTCACTTTGCAATGCATAGTTAATCTCAGCCAATCAGTCCACCAATGGGGGTTAAATAGCACAGAGAGCCCTGATATATTCTTCCACACTATAGATCCATTTCACCTTTGGCTACTTGATATTCCATACTACACATACATTTCACCTAGAGAGATCTTAAACAGATAGTTTTGTATTTCTTCACTTATTAAATGCAGTGTACCATTAAGGAATATTTTGGTTTTAAATCAATGTATCACAGTGGATTTCCTTTAAAAAAATATAGCAGAGCAGTTAAATTATTCAGTTCTGAGCACCAAGTTTTAAATCCTTTCACAAAATTGGTTTTGACTGTGGAATCAAAAGGTCTCTCCCCACTCTCAAATGGTAGTGGGGAGATAATGAATAACAGCATTCCAGTTGAGAAAACTATTTTATATCACAAATAAATATCACTTAAGCTTTGAAAGTGTGCCCAGACCAAAGAAGTTTTCCATTACAAATTTTAATACTGATAAGACATGATCCTGATTTAAAATTACTTTAAAAACATTTAAAATGTGAACATTTTGAATTCTAAGTAAATAGTCTTTGAGGCTCAGAAAATATTTTAAGTCCAAAAGACTTGTTTGAACAGGTTTGCTGAAAGTGTAGTACTCTCAAGTTTATCCACTTTACATTATTCTTCAACCCACAGCTTATTTGCATACACATTAAACTTTTAATAAAAAATGTTAGATATGACTGCATCAGTGATTGCAAGCAGTTCCTATAAAATTAATAACAAAATTTACAAGTTTCAAAGGCAATTCTTGTCTAATGTAAAGTCATCTTCCATCTTGTAGCACTAATCTACCATTCCTTATGCAAATGCATAGCAAAAAATTTTTTGAGGCTCATGAGTGTTAGTGGAAACGTTTCTGTACTAATAAAAGTCACTAAACAGAGGTTTTTCTCCCCTGTGACAGTACTTTGTTCAACATGTACAGTAAAAGATCTAGATGTTAATTTTTCTAAAGGCTTTGGGTCAGCAGAGTAGTGAGAGTGACTTTGAGAGTAACCATGAACTGTCCAAGTGAAGAAAAATTAGTTTCAATTCAATGAATATTGAATTAACCTGGCCCACAAGAACTGGGACTTTAAGCCAGCGTGACTGAAGTAAACCAAGCCATCCAATATCTTTTGCATCTTTCTTACCACATTTTTGTAGAAGAAGTAAATCACCATCTTTGCCAATCGAGAATAGCACCAATGCCCATGGACCAGAAGCAACTTCTTGAGATGTTTAAATCGAGATACTGCAAAGTCACTGGCCATCACAGCCTTAAATAAAAAGTATTAAGTTTATTTATAGAAATTCTATTTTTGTACCCAATGACCTGATTCAAGAACGAACAGTGAGGAAACTACCCATGATTATGCTGACACTTTTAGGCTTATTAACTAACCAAAAAACCTGCTCTTCCCAATATGAACTTGCATCTTTCTGCCTCCCCAGAATGCACCACAAAACGGTATTAATGAACCCAGGATGATGGAGGAGAGAAATCATTTGGAAAGAAATTAGAATGAGAAGAAGCCCTGTATTTGAATCTTGGGAAATTCTACAGAAGAGATGATCAAGAAAGCAGGTGTTATTCCATTGGTGGATATTTATCTGCTGATTTTTCAAGCTTAGAATAAACATACATGCATGTTAACTGATGATTCAGCTAGCTATAATGATGGAAAGCATAATGTCAGGATAGCAATAATGCTAACTTGTTTCTTAATTTCAAGTTGTTACTCAGAATAAAGGTCCCTCCCTAAGTCCTTGAAACTATTCAAATCTACTTCATAAAACCAGAAAGGAGGATACCTGCATGCCTTCTTGGCCAGAAATTCCAATCCCAACATCAGCTGCTTGAATCATACTCACATCATTTGCACCATCACCTTGAAGAGAAAAAATGAACCAAGTTCCAGAAATATGAAAATACAACATAAAATAATGTTAAGGTTTGGTTTGTTTAGTGTTAAATGCCTGTATCTGAAAGCAAGATCTCAAACTATTCCGGTATGTCTACACTTGCTCCCTAGTTCGAACTAGGGATGCAAATGTAGCCGACCAAAATTGCTAATGAAGAGGGGATTTAAATAGCCCACACTTCATTAGCATAATCTTTCCCATGCGTTATTCCGCTTGCCAGCTGATTTGAACCAGGAAGTACACTCCGGGACGTGTTAATTTGAATCAACCCCCTTGGTTCGAACTAACATTATTCCTCAAAAAATGAGGAGTTACGTTAGTTTGAACCAAGGGGTTTGATTTGAACTAATGCGTCCCAGAGCGCACTTCCTGGTTCAAAATCAGCTGGCAAGCAGGTGAGATTATACTAATGAAGCACGGGATATTTAAATCCCCGCTTCATTAGCAATTTTGGTCGGCTACATTTGCATCTCTAGTTTGAACTAGGGAGCAAGTGCAGACGTACCCTTCCTGATAGACAGGTATCTTTACAATAGCACACATATGTAGTTATGGTTGTTGGTGCCTTGCGTGTTGTCAGGTGGATTAGGATTAGGTCAAGCAGTCAAAAAACAGATCTGGAACCTCTTTGCTGTAAGTCTTTGGGTCACAAATTCTTGGGGTGAAATTCTAGTCCCATTGAAATCAAGGGCAGAATTCCCTCTATGCCAGCAGTTCCCAACCTTTTCCAGATGGGAACCCATTTTGACAATTCAGGAAGACTTGGTGACCCAAGGCAATTCAAAAACGGGGGGAGGAGGAAGGGCAGAACCACCTGGGGAGACACTTGGCGACCCTTTTGAAATGTAATGGTGACCCATATTTGGGTCCCAACCCATACGTTGGGAAACCCTGCTCTATACTTACAAGCATAAAGTATTAAGCAGAATCATCAGCCAAAGTAGGAATACTCATGCATTTCAACTATCACATTTGTTCATATTTCCCAATGTAGATGCTATTCTTTATGTACTCTATACAAAAATAAATTTACTTTGTCACGTTCAGTTTATTCACGCCAACCATCATCAAAACCAACAAGCCAAACAAAAAGGCCTTTGAGAACAGTTTGTCCCTCCTTTCCACGATGGCAAAAACAAAACAAAACAAAACAAAAACCACATTTTTTTTTATCTTTTCTTAACTCAAAAAGGCCTAAAATATTCAGATGCAGATAGGATCCATACATGGAAAAATTCAGTCCACAGGTGAGCATTTTCAAAAGTTCTGAGTGAAATAGGGGTTATAATTTACATAACTTCCTTCTTGCCCACTGTGGGTACATCAACACTGCAGTGGAAGATTGAAGCTGCTGCTGTTGATCTTCCAGGGTTCAAATTAGAAGTGTTCTTCCCTTGACTTCCTGCAGTGTGGACAGCTCCAGAAGCTGAGTTAAGCTACTTCGACTTCAACTATGCAATTAACATAGCTGAAGTTGCATATCTTAATTTGACTTTGTCCCGTAGTGTAGGCACTGCAGGCCTTGGTTATGTTGAAAGTTTTAAAGTCAGTTCTGTAAGGATTTTAATAGAATCATACAAACTGAAACAAGGAACATGCAGATTTCACTTTAACTAGTTTACTTGGAAGGTGAAAAGCAGTGCCTAATGCTGCTTTGGGGATATGCAAATTGGAAAGAATCCAGGAGTAAAAGGGAACAGTTAACACAACAAGCAGAATAATGATTATGATTATTGGCTTTCCTGAACTGTAGAGCTTTGGAGGGTAACAGGGAGAAAGAGACATTGAAATTGTCAGGTGCTCTCATCAAATCTTTGACTTTAATAGGAGCTCAGGTCAGTCAGGCACCTCATAAAGAAATTTCACACACAAGCCTATGGCTCTTGCTAAGAAGATACTATTTAGCCCTATCTTTTTCCATCAGAATGAAAGGAAGCAGGAACCACAATGTGAATATTATATAGCAGTACTCTCCACATGCTGAAAATTCATGATGAATATTAAAAGCGTGAGACCAAAATAATTTAGAATTGCAAGAGACTAAGTACCTATTGATAGTGTCATGACTTCTAGTTTTCTCCGGACTAGTTTGACCACCATGCTCTTCTGCAAAGGAGTGGCACGGCAGCACAAAACTGAGCGGCAGTACTTTGTCAGCTCCAGAAACTTATCTTCCAGGTCTCCTTGGAAAATAACATTCAATGTTTTCCCATCAACTACCAGCCCAATGTCAGTGCTGTGGGCCACAGAGGCTGCTAAAGATGATGACAGGCTAATGCCCCAAATTTTCCATTTTGTTCTTTCAGCATTAGAATTCTTCCTTACTTCTTCCAATGTTAAATCCAAGAGGGATTCACAGGTTTCCTGTGTGAAGATGAGATGATTATAAAATGCTTGTATGTATGTCCCATTAAAATATTACTCATGTATATGTCTAAGCAGATCAGGTACATTTGAGGATGTCACAGAACCATTTGGAGTGTTTGATAAAGAACATCTATAGTTTACCACACTGAAGATTGCACCAGTGAGGCCCTCAGCTTCTCTACCCATGTATGTTGAAAACATAGACCATCTTAACAGCTATTTGGTTCCAATATGACTATTCATTTTAAAAGAAAGTCTAGTTTCACAAAGAGAGCCTGTATTTGTGTAGGCAATGGATTAATTGTTTTAATAATAAATTACATTGCAATAGCCTTTCCATACAAGGATCTTAACATACATTCCTAATAATAATGTAAAGTAATAACTACAAACACCCCTGAGACAGATAGTGAAATCATGATTCATATTTGTCTTTCAGACACAAACACATGGAATTTGACAACTCTCATGTGAGGGCTGGTGAAGACATGATTTCTCTCTCTCACACTCTCTCTCTGAAGCAAAATCCTCCAGGGGGGATTGAACAAAGACCCCAACTACCTTACCCATTACCAAGATAGCTTCCCCAATTATCACCTCTAATACCATTAGCTCACAGACATCTAACTTTCCCCACCTCTAATATCATTAACTCACAGACACTTACCTTCCTTCCTCCCCCCCCGGCATCCCTCCTCTGTTCTGAAATGTGATTTGTCCTTTTCATATGTGTTCATTTTTTTTAATTGTATCCTTTGGTATATATGGTTGTGACTATTTTCTTCCACTATTTGATCTGAGGAAGTGGGTCTGGCCCACGAAAGCTCATCATCTAATAAACCATCTTGTTAGTCTTTAAAGTGCTACAAAGTCCTGCATTTTGCTTCAGCTACCCCAGACTAACACGGCTACATTTCTATTACTCTCTCTCTCACACTCTCTCTCTCTCTCTGCCAGAAAAATTGAGGCTCCGATTTTTAGAAGTAGGCACCAGTTTTGAAAACTAAATACTGTGATCTGCATGGAACAGATAAGAACTTAACTGAGGTTATCATAACAGCTGCTTCTGTGCATTAGCCATAAAACCACACTTTCCCCATTAGTGCATTTCACCATTTTAGACCAAACTTTTCTTTCAGAGGAACACAGTCAATAATGGCTTAAGCAAGAGTTAGGTACAAAAGTATCCAAGCATGGATAACCTGTACAAAATGCTTTCCTTTCCCTAAGGTTCACAAGGGCACAGTGACAGTGTAACATATGGTGTCACACATAGTTCATCTTGCTGTTAGTCTTTTTAATAAGTCTTTTCCTGTGGCATGGCATAGAATATGAGAAGAGTTAATCATTCCCCGTCTTTGCCTTCTGTCAGCCTTCCTGAGTGATGATTCAGTACTAAAATGTTCTTTTCACTTTTTGTTGCATAAGGTGCACCCATATGATCCTGTAAGATTTAAATGACACATAAGTGGGAGGTTCTGAAATCAAGTGTACCTCTGACACCTAAGACGAAATCGCATCACTAATATGCTCTAAAAACATTCCTGGTGGAACAGCACCTTTCTATGTGTAAACCAGTATAAATATATACTGAAAATGTAAGGTATTTTAAAATTAATCCTAAAGGAACTGGCTAATTTCCTAGTGCTGGTCACTAGGAATACATCTCATTTCTAAGGTTTGGTGACTCTTTGGGAGTGACTGTACCAAAGAGGCCAGTGGAGAGAATGAAGGTTTGGGATCCCTTCTTGCAGTATGTCCACTTGCTTTCATTCCTCACTATTCCTGTCAGGGAACATCAGAACATAAGAACAGCCATACTGGATCAGACCAAAGGTCCATCTAGCTCAGTATCCTGTCTTCCAACGGTGGCTAATGCCAGATGCCCCAAAGCACTCTAACCTTTTTAACCACAAAGATCACTCTTTCAATTTAAGTGCAATGTAAGATCTACGTCAAACCCAAATACCCTTGCCTGGCTTCCTTCCTCCCCTTCTCTGAGGCCCTGCCCCTGCTCCACCCCTTCTCCAAGGCCTCATCCTGTTCAGTCCACCCCCCTTCCTCCCCGGATCTCATTCACTTTCACCAGGCTGGGGTAGGAGACTGGGGAGCAGGCTCTGGACTTGGGCCAAGGGGTAGAGAGTGTGGGAGGGGACACCCTGAAGGTAAGTGGTGGGCTGGTTTCTGGAATTGCTTAGGGGATAGGGCATTAGCTTTGGGAGCACAGGGTGGTGGGTTCGAGTTCTCCCCCTCTTCCCACCCTGGGAGTGACTGGACAACAAATACAGACTGCCCAGGGGATGGACCGGTCTCCTTCATTAGAAGAGCAGGATAAGGGACCCTCTGAAGGCACAGACAGTGGTGGAGTTCTGGAGTGGACTAGGGGCTAAAACATATGCTTGGGGAGCACAGGGGAGTGGGTTTGAGTCCTGCCCACACTGGGACTGGGAGTAGGAGCTGCCAGACAGCCAATACAGGCTACTCCAGGAATAGAGCTGGCTCCTGCATTAGGAAGGCAGGATAACAGACTAGGAGGAGATGGCGTGGGATCTCCAGTGAACTCAAGAATAGGGCATCAGCCTCTGGAGCACTGAGTAGTGGGCTTGAGTCTGGGCCCCTGTAGGCAGCTTAAGTCCACCCTGGGGCTATATCTACATTGCTAGGTTATTGCGCAAGCACAGCTGTTCTTGCACAGGAATCTGCAGAGCATCCACACTATGCAGCTGCTCTTGTGCAAGGAAATTTACAGTAAGGCGTGGTAAGAGACAGCTCCTTGCGCAAGAACTATGCTCTTTTTTAACAGGTGTCCCTTATCCTTAACAGGCGCTCTTGCACAAGAGGGCAGTATGGATGCTCAGCAGGGATTTCTTGTGCAAGAAAGCCCTATGGCCAAAATGGCCATCAGAGCTTTCTTGCACAAGAGAGCATCCACATTACCATGGGCGCTCTTGTGCAAAAGCACAGCTCACACATGGCAGGATGGACGTTTTCTTGCAGAAGACTTATTGCACAAGAACCCTTGCGCAAGATTTTCTTGAACAAGAATCCGCCAGTGTAGACATAGTGGGAGTGACCAGACAGCCAACAGGATAAGGGACCTTCTGAAGGTAGGAAGATGAGCTTGGGGTGATAGGTTGAAGTCCCACCCGCCCTGGGAGTGCAGGACAGCCCTCACAGGCTGCCCCAGAGTTGGAGCTGGCTCCTGCATTAGGAAGGCAGGATAAGGGACCTGCTGAAGGTAGGGAGATGGGGTGGATTCTGGAGTGGCTTAGAGGACAGGGCATTTGCCAGGGGAGCACAGGGTGGTGGGCTTGAGTCAGAGTCCCATCCGCCCTGGGAGCGGCCAGACAGCCAACACAGGATAAGGGATCCTCTGAAAGTATGGTGGTGGGGTGGATTCTTGAGTTGACTAAGGGGCAACAGCCTCTGGAGCACAGGGTGTTGGGCTTGATTTCCCCCACCCACCCACCTGAGCAGTCAACACCCTAACTGCCCCAGGGACAAAGCTGTCTCCTGCATAAGGAAAGCAGGATAAGGGACCCGCTGAAGGTAGGGTAATGGTGTGGCTTCTGGAGTGGCCTAGTATATGCAGCATTTGCTTGGGGAAGTCCAGGGTGGTCTGTTCAAGTCCTGCCCATCCTAGGAGCACAGAGATGAGAGGGAAGGACCATGTGTATTTGTGGGAATGACAGAGATTTGAATTGCCAAGCTCCCTCCAGTCTCTTCTCTCTGTGTGGAGTTAGAGTATAGGAGTGGGAGGAGGAGGGACACCCTGACATCAGCAACCCTCTTCTCCCCACCCTGTAAAGCAAGCAGGAGACCCCTAAGGGGCAGCTCCAAGGCAGAAAAGCAGGAGCAGCATGACAGTGGGGGGAGAGGCAACTGAAGTGCCTGCATTTGAGAGCTTCCTGGCCAAATCAGCCTCTGACAAACAGGGGTACATCTACACAGCAGGGCCATTTTGGGATAACATCCGTTAGCCTGAAATAGCATTCTCCGCTGTCTACCCAAGAAGCCCACCATTTTGAAATACATTCAAAACAATGGGCAACATATTCCAGCTTCCTATAAACCTTGTTGCATGAGGATTAAGGAAGATACCAGACTAATGATTTATTTCAAAATGTGGTGCTATGTAGACAGCACCAAATTTCAAAACAAACTATGCAATCTGTGTAGCTCAAATTGCATAGCTTATCTTGAGGTAGGTGCTACTGGGCAGATGTACTCACAGAGGCTACGGTCGCCATTTCTACCCATCCTGCCTAATAGCCATTGATTGACCTAACCCCCATTAATTTATCTAGTTCTGTTAAAGTCCTGGTCTTCACAACATCCTCTGGCAAGGAATTTCACAGGTTGACTGTGCACTGAGTGAAAAAAAACCCCTTCCTTTTGTTTGTTTTAAACCTGCTAATTATTAATTTCATTTGGTAACCCCCTAGATCTTATATTATGGGAACAAGTGAATAATTTTTCCTTATTCACTTTTTCCACATCCATCCTGATTTTATAGACCTCTACCATATCCCCCCTTAGTCGTCTCTTTTCTAAGGTGAAAAGTCCCAGTCTGTTTAATCTCTCTTCATATAGGACACATTCCAAACCCCTAATCATTTTTGTTGCCCTTTTCTGAACCTTTTCCAATGCCAATATATCTTTTTTGAGATGAGGCGACCACAGCTGTACGTAGTATTCAAGATGTGGGCATACCATAGAGGCAATGAGATATTCTCTCTCTTATTCTCTATCCCTTTTTTAATGATTCCTAACATTCTGTTTGCTTTTTTGACTGCCATTACACATTGCGTGGATGTTTTCAGAGAACTATTCACAATGACTCCAAGATCTCTCTTGAGTAGTTATAGCTAAATTAGTCCCCATCATATTGTATGTATAGTTGGGATTATTTTTTCCCATGTGCATTACTTTACATTTATCAGCATTAAATTTCATTTGCCAATTTGCTGCCTAATCATGTAAAAATTGGCAAACTC